CCTCCCCCCGCCGCAGTCCCTCCCGCTGATGGGGGCCGCTCTCCGCGCGCGCTGTGTTCGCTCTAATGCTGCCGGCATGCTGCTGGAGGCCAAGTACGCCGCGAATCTGACAGTCCGCTTCGCGGAGAGAAAGATATGCGTGAGCGGCGAGTGTAAAAAGGGGGTGCACTCTGCACTCAGTCCGCGCCAACCCCTCCCTCTCTCTCCCTCTCTCTCGCACTCCGTCGCGCGCACCGCCCCGGGCACCTAGGGGAGTGAGAATAATACATATTTTGCGTCGCCGGCGCACGCGCTGCAACGTGCCTGGAACGAAAAATGAAGAAAAAAATAGAATAAAAAGGTATCAGTGGGGAAGGAGTCGTCCCCAGCTCGAACATGTTCCCTCCATGAGGAGGCGCGGCAGTTAAAGTTTTACTGTTAAATAGCAAGTGGAGTGGCGGCTCCCCCTCCACAAAAATAATCCAGCCTAAAAAAAGGAAAATTCCCGAGTCGCATAGAGCTGCGACTCTTGTAGTGTAGTACTCCATGCCTTCACCGCGACGACGCGGAAGTCGTGTCAGTTTTATGTTGGTTTGATGGTGTTTGAAGACGCACCCTTTTTTTCTGTCCAACTGCCGAGCAGGGGGAGGAGGGTGTTGTCGAGTGTGACGTCACACGTTCGGCCGGGAGCCTCCAAGCGTGACGACACGACTGTACCGCACGGCGCGGCGCGGCACGGCACGGCACGGCACGGCACGGCGCGGCACGGCGTGCCCACAGGGTTGCATCACCATCACCTCGCTGCCGGACGAGTGGAAGTGGAGTCGAGGGGTTGGCGCGGTGCTGGCCGGACGATCCCGACACCCCGTCTTCGCTTTACACACACTCACTGTCATGGCGGCGAGGCCCTGCTCTGTGTAGGCTGATTCCGAACGAAGCGGTCGTCGCTCTGTCTCTCTCGCACTCACGGCGAGGGCCGCGCCTGGCCCGTAGGCAGCCCGCTCGTTTTGCGGCCATCAGCTCCGATTGGCGACGGCTTGCGACCCCTCCCCCCCCCCTCCCCCCGCCAGTGGCGTCTCCGTGTTAGCGCGCGGTGCGTATGGCGCCGAGGGGCACCGCGCCGCCGCCGCGCTTTCACCAGCGACGTCGTGGAACTCGGAAAACGCAGAGAAGAGCGTCTCTTTCCCATTCTCATCCGCAGATTTATTTCTTTTTCATTTCTCCGGTGAAAAACGGGCGAATCAATTCTCGTCTGCAAATCCCTGCCAAAGTCGCTCGCAGGGCTCGGCAGGCTCGGCTCCCCCGAACTGGCGCGGTGGGCCCCTCCGCGTGGCCCCTCCGCGTCGTGGCTCCCCCTCCCCTCCCCTCCCCGTCCACGTCACGTACGCCGGGACGCCAGTGCGCCGACTGCGGTACCCTTCCCTTCCCTACCGCGCGGGTGCGAGCTGTTTAGGCTGCCCGCGTAAACACTTGGCCTTGTATAAAAATCTCAATATAGCTCTGGCACCCCATACTTAGTGCGCTGTGCGGAGCAGAGCGCGCAGAGCGAGCACAGCTCTCACGGCGCCGGGAGGGCAGAAGCGGGCGAAGACGGCGAAGCAGCAGAAGGGGGAGGGGGATCTAGTTCTCTTCGACCTCGGCTCTGGTTAGCGCCGCGTAGCGCCGCGTAGCGCCGCGGTCCCGACGGGGAAGTCAAGACCGAGTCGTTCTCCTCTCGCCGCCCTTCTCCTCCTCGACGATGAATGTCTCGGATATTTCTCCGCGCCGCGGTGGTCCCGGTGGTCCTCGACGCCGCCGCTCTGGCGCGCTCTCTGGCATAGGGGTTCGGTTCGACGGGCCGGGGTTAAATGTCACCGAACAGCCATTTACAGTGATTGTTCGGTGCGCTGGTCGGAGCGCTGTCTCGGCAGCGGCGGGTCAGTGCGGTGCGCGTTGGAGCGGCGCGAGCAGCGCGGGCAGCACAGAACCAAACAGGTTGGCTATCCATCCTTGGATTAGCTCTACGCCGACGGAAGACCCACCCCGCCGGCAACCCCGGCCCGGGGCCCCGAAGGGTGCGCAGATCCGCGGCGGCGGTGTCGACATGCACTAAGCTGGGGCCGCTCCAGAGGGGGAAAATATGCGAAATGACAGGATTATGCGAGATCTACCGCACTTCGACGGCCGTGGCGGCGTGGACGCGGACAGGGACGGGGGTGCAGCCGAGCGGCGCCACCCCGCACCGATTCCAACCAACCCTTTGAGCCACGTACCCCGCCAGCCCCGCCAGCCCCGCCAGCCCCGCCAGCCCCGCCAGCCCCGCCGGCACTCGCGCCAACTGCCAGGCCGGCCGGCCGGGTTGCCGGGTTCACGTTCACACCCCTCCCCACCATCCCCGTCAGTTGTGTCACGCAAGACAATGCCCCTCCACCTCATTTGGGAGTCCTCCCCCACCCCACCCCTCCCCGACGCCGCACCGCCGCACCCCCGTTGACTCCGTGAGCAGCGGCGCGGTGATCGACGCTCCGAACCCAACGAGGTGTCGAAACACGCGGCTCGCCGCGCTTTCCGCGCTTAGGGGCGGGCCCCGATGCACGCCGCCTCGGCGGCACGGCACCGTGCTGCAGACTGATTCCGAGAGTCGTCGCTCTGTCTCCCTCGCACCCACAGGGAACGCCCCACGAGTGCGAGAGAGACAGAGCGGCCAAAACGACTCTCGGAATCAGTCTGCTGCTTTGGTGGTGTCGGTGGTGTCCGACGGTGTCCCCACGCCGCCGCCACGCAGCCACCCTGCGGGCCCTTCCCAGCCCGGCCTGCTGTCTCTTTACCTGTGCGGATTAGAAGAGCCCCGCCCCTCCCCGCCGCACCCCGCCGCGCCCCTCGGGACGTGTTGGCCGTGTTCGCCAGACAAACAGCACGCAGGGCACCGCAGGCACCACCAGGTTTTGCGCTCAGAACCCTCCCCTCCCCGCCCGGCCGCAACCTTGGCCGCTCCAGAATAAATTCGCGACAAGTGGGGCGACACCGCACAGTGGGCCAGAAAACCGGTGGAGGCGGCCCAAACTCAAGACGCGTTTTGAGCTCCAGGGTCGCTAGACAAGACTCAAACCGAACGTGTGACCTCACCGATGGATTGCTCTCTGAACGAGGAATCCATTGGTGGGGTCACACGTTCGGTTCGAGTCCCATTTAGGGTCTCTGGAACTCCAAACGCGTCTAGAGTTTGGGCCGCCTCCACCGGTCTTCTGGCCCACTGTGCACCGACAGGAATCGACGCTGCCCGACGCCAACAAGTGCAGGGGACGGCGGTGACACCGCGTGCAGCCGTGGCCGGCCGGCGTGGCGCCACTCCCGGTATGCCTTCCTGCCCTAATCTCCAAGAGGAATGGCCCGTCCCATTCCGAACAGTGCCTCTCCGCTCTGTCTCTCTCGCACCCTCTCAAAAGCACTATTCGAAATCAGCCGGATGGGCGGGGCGCGTTCTGGAGTGACGCCTCAATCACCACCCCGAGGTCCTGGAGGACGCGTGTCTCGAGCTTCCCTCGGCCAATGCGGGCCAAACGCCAAGTCCAGCGTGTTCGGAGGGCGGACTGCCGGACTGACTGGGGCACTGGTGGGCCACGCCGGGCAACAGGCGGTGCGGGGAGGAAGAGAGGAGAGAGGAGGGGTGTTGCGCTGCAGTAAGCAAAGTACCGCCACGCCTAGCGGCCTAGCCTTGCCGACGTGACTCTTTACTCTCTAGGCCTCTAACTCGGCCTCGAGGACGGGGACGGGGACGGAGGTCGAAGAGAGGATGTGCGACAAGACACTTGGAGAAGTCTTGCCGGCCCGGCCCGGCCCGGCCCGCCCCGCTGCAGCGCGGCTTTGCCCCCCTCCCCTTCCCCTCCCCTGGTCCTGCCGGCAGGATCGCTTCGGGTGCGCTGCGCCGCGCCGCGCGCTTCGGGTTTGGGCTGGGTGCGTCGGGCTCGGCGGGCAGGGCGGGCAGGGCTCGGCTCGCGTGCCTGCCGGCAGCCTGGCCGCCCGGCCCGCCTCGTTCGGCTGCTCGCCGTGCTCGCCGCTCTGGAAGCCTGAAGGCCTGAAGGGTGTGTCTGGTGCGTGCACTGCTGGAGTCAATGCGCGACGCAGCCTAGGGTGGCCGCGCGGCGCGGGCAGGCCCTTTCTCTTTCTACAGTGCGGGGGGCGTGCTGGCCGCGCGGGTGGAGTGGAGGTCCTGGAGCGGGAAGGGGCCGCTCCGTTCGGACCAAGTCCTTCGGGCAGCTTGGTGTGCCCCTCGCAGCGCCACGCAGGCATGCCGTAGGAATGGTATAGAAAGCGCCGGCTTGAACCCCAGCTGTCGGTCCAATCATTTTCCCTGTATAAAACACAAAGTCTAACGGGCACGGGCGAGAGAGAAAGTATCTTAACTGTTTCCTCGTCTCGGATGGTCGGAGCCATTTCTTGCGCGTTCCGGGCCGAACACGACCAAGTGCCCTGGGCAGGCTGGGCAGGCTGGGCAGGCCGCACATGGGGACACCCAGGCACCTCGCGGTACCTCGCGGCCGTCCTGGGGCGTCCCCGCCGTCCCCGGGCCAGGGGAGCGCGGGCGGCGCCGCGGTGTGTGGGCGTGTGTCTACGATCCTCAGGCGGTCGCGCGCCATTCAAATCAATGCGGGTATGAATTTGAAATCGTGCCGTCATCGTCCTCCTCCAGTCAGCACCGGGTGTCCATGCGGCGAGTGCCAGCCATGCCCGCACGCGGCTGGGCCGGCGGATGCTGGGGCTCCAGGATCCTGGAGAACTTGTGGCAACCCTAGGCGGCGGAGCGGAGCCGAGGAGAGGGAGGGGGCGAGGCTCGCAGGGAGAGCAACTGACTAGCGCGGTGCCTACGTCACGGACCCGCCGGGCTGCCGGGCTCCCCGCGCGCGCCGGTGCTACTACCTCATCCACCGCCGTCTCGCCGCTCCACCCTCCGGCTCCCGACGAGCGGCCGTCCTGCCGAAGCCAAGCCGACGAGACGAGACCGGTGCCGGTGCCTGCCGCCGCCGCCGCTTGCCTGCCTGCCTGCGAGCTGCCCGCCTGGCCGCCGCGCTGCCTGCCTGACTTGCCGCCTGCTGGCGGAGCGTTCAGTAGCGTGCGTGCTTTGGAGTGCGGAGGCCGTGCCGTGCCGTGCGTTTGAGGCTTACGAGTGCAGTGCACAGTGCCGTGTTTGAGTGAATATCCCGAGTGAAGCTCATCATGGCCAGCGAGGAGAACAACGTGACTGCCGAGTCCAAGGCGGCGGAGCCCGCCAAACCCGCCGAGGCTCCCCAGGATAACAAGGCCGAGGTGGAGGCGGCTCCGGCCGCGGCTCCCGCCGCCACCGAGGAAGCCAAGAAGGAGGAGGAGGCCAAGGAGGAAAAGAAGGAGGAGGAGGCCGCTCCCCCGGCGCCCCCCAAGCCCACCGTGCACAAGCCCAACTTCGAACAAGATGTGGTTTACCTTTACCAGTTCTCACGTACCCCGGTCCTGCCTTCACTCTCATCCTTCTGCCTCAAAGTTGAAACGTGGCTCCGATTGGCTGGAATCAAATACGAGGTGAGTTTGTGTGTGTGCGTGATAAGCGCGCGCCATTCGGTGTGTTTGTTTCTGTTGTTGCGAGCGGCATTTGACCGGCCCGCGCGCAGTGTTCCCGGCCCGAGGCGACGCTAGCGTCTCTCCAGCGAGGCTGCTGCGCACTGCGTAGCGCTGCGTACCCGACGCCGGGCCGGCCGCTTTGCCAAGCCGCGGAGCTTGCCGGCGTCGCGTAGCCGCGTCCCGGCCTAGCCCAGCCAGACGGCCTTAATGTTAGGTTAAGTCTCTGCCTCTAACGGCACATGCAGGGCCGAGCAGCTCGTTGGCTTGGACTAAACAAAGCGTGAAGCTGGCTGTGCGGTGGCTGGCCGCCTGCACCGCTCTCGGTGCGCCAAATCTGGCAACGCTGCTGCAACCACCGCCGCCTGCTCCGGCCAGCATCGCCATCGCCGCGCTCGGTGCCGCCGCGCCGGGGAGAGCGGCTTCTCCAGGGGACACGGAATTAGCGAATCTGTTCTAGTGTGCCGTTCTAGGTTCTCGGCGTGCCGGGGACGCGCGCCGAGGCTGGCCGTGGCGGATGACAGTACGGCCTCTCTCTTTTCCCGGGACGTGCTTGGGTCAGCGGCCGGCCCGGCTGGCTGGCGGCGTGGCTGGCCGCCATGGCGGGACGCCGGGGCTGGCGGCCCTGGCGGGACGGGTAGGCCGAGATGCAGGCATGCCGGCCCGGGCCGCGCGGCCCCGAATATCTTCGGGATGCAGGGCAGGCCCGGCAGGCCGGGCAGGGCGTCCCAGTGAACTGGCGCGACGACGCCGGCGTGGCACGGCGTGGCTGTGTCGCCATGTTTCATGTTTGATGCCGCGTTGCGCAGCTCCCTCCCCGATACCATGTATCTTGGAGGCAAAGTGCACGCCGGTCCTGGGCCCCTCGGTGGCGCGGCGTGGCGGCCTGCGTGGTGCCCTCTTTGTGGTAGGGCGGGTAGGCGTGGCGGCCAGACGCCGGTCGCGGCCGATCCGGCCCCCGATGTCCAGCAACCACGCAACCGCGCCGCGCCAGGCTACGCCGGGCCGCCGACACGTCACCCGGCCGGCGTCCCTCCGTCACGCGTGCATGGTCGCCGCCATGACTCCCCCCACCACGGCGGCGTCCCTTTAACTAGGGTCAGTCATGCTGGCACCTGAATGCAGTGCGGTGGACGTGGACCGCCCTCATGCGCTAAGTGGCTCATGGGGGTCGCGACCACGCGGCCGCCGTCCTGGCCGCCGAGGCTGGCCGAGGACCGCGTCTTGCATGCGGGCGCGGCGGTGCGGCGGCGCGGGGCGGGGCGGGGCATGCGGGCTACAGCGCCCCTCGCTCCCTCTCGCTCCCTCCAGAAGAAAAGCCACTGTACGAGCATAGCCATGTGGCCGGGGGCGGCGGGGCTGGGCGGGGCGTGTGAGGGGGAGGGGGAGGGGGGCGGGTCTATTTCGGCCAGATCAGGCGGCGGCGGGCGGGGCTCTCTAAATGGAGCGGCCCTACGGCCGGCCGGCCCTGGGCCCTGCCTCTCTAGCCCTGACTCTCTAGCCAGGCCGGCCAGTGGACTCACTCAAAACAAATAACCCTCTCCAAACACCGAGCGAAAATAAGCGGGGCGCTGTTCTGGGGCGCTCGGCCGGCAAGGGCGTGGCGCGGCGGCGTGGCGCGGCGGCGGGGCTGGCCGCAGCTGGGTGTCAAGGGTTGAGCCGCCGTATTACGACTGCATTGGAGCACGGCGGCGCCCCGATGGGGGAAAAGGGGGGGGGGCAGGGGCATGACGAAGGACGCCATCGTGAGATGCCCCGACCGGGGCTGACTCAACTGGGGCGTGTTCGTGTTCTCCTCGGAACCGAGTACCGAGTCCATTTCCCGGCCGCGAGGATGAGTCCGCTGTGGACTGATTCCGAGAGTCGTTTTCGTCGCTCTGTCTCTCTCGCACCTATACTGGACGCCCCATGAGTGCGAGGGAGACAGAGCGACGAAAACGACTCTCGAAATGAGTCTGCTGGGCGTGGGCCCGGTCTGGGCCCGGCGGCGGCCGCGGCCACGCCGCCACGCAGCTGAGGCTGGCCAGATTTCTCAGAACGTCGGCGGCCAAGTCCCTCGTCTCGTCCGTCGCCGCGTCGCGTTATCACCAACTGGACGGGCACAACGCGCGGTCGGCCGGCCGGCCAGCCAGTCTGGCTCGCCCTTCTAATTGCTGGCTGTGCTTCTTGCTCTGTGGGCCACTGAGCCGGTCGGCCGGCCGGCGCTTCCGTTGTCCGCATTCCAGCGTGTCCAGCAGGCCGGCTCCGAACAGTGTGTGTGTCTCTCTCTCTCTCGGCCCGGCCGCGGCATTATGGGCTTTGGCGGGGCGTGCTGTGCGTGCTCACGGCGAGGCTGTCGTGGGGCCCACGGGGCTCGGCGTGCCGAGCGGCGCAGCGGCACCTGTCGCTGCGCTGTTTATTGATTGGTCAGTTCGTAACGAGGGTCGCGTGCCGGCCGCGTCCGCGCCGGGCTTATGGTCCGGGCCGACGGCGTCCTTGGTGGCGATGGCGGCGCGCGTCGAGGGAGTCGTGCTTGCTGCCCCTCTGGGTCTTCTGGCCCCGGCCGGCAGGCGGACGCACCGCTGCCGCCCGATTCGCGTCTGTCTCTCTCGCACCCTTACGGCGCGCCCCGTGGGTGCGACGGAGAGCGACGACGCGGTCCTCTGGAATGAGGCGGCTGTTCCCTTATTCATGGCGCCGCGTGTCCCGGCCGTCCCGGCCCTCGCCGTGTCCCGGCGGATGCGCGCCCCGCAGCGCCCCGCACGCCGAAGGGTCGGCGGGGACTCCGGGACAAATTTGTTGTTCGGGGGCTGGTAATCAATCGGCCCGTCCGCGGCGGAGGCGGAGGCTGGAGCGCTGTGCACCGCGGAGCAGCGCGCCGGCCGGCCGGCCGGGCTGTTTGAACGGCGCCCGGCTCGCCTGGCTGCCCCCGCGCCGCGCGCCGCTCGGCGCTGCGTTTGGCGTTTACGACGCGGAAGCGGGAATGCAGGTCGAGGCGTGGATAAACATTGTTCGGCCGAGGCGCGGGGCGGCGCGGCGCGGGGCGGAGGGGCGCGTTAAAGGGGCGTTTACTGTCGGCCTGTCGCCGGCCGATGGCAGCCGATGGCGGCCGATGGGGCGTCGAGCCGCTCAAGTGGGCTGGGCCGCGGGGCCGCTGCGCGCTGGCGGCCGGACGGACGGGAAAGCCGCAAACTGGAAAAGAAAGGACGACCAGTAGCCGACGGCGAGGGCCGCCTCGTCATCGGCCGGGGTCATTGGTCGCGGAAGCCTCGCCAAAGGCCTGGCCGCTCGGGGCGGCGATTTGCTGCAATCGGGGCGTTGCCGGCCAGCCGGCCAGCCGGCCACTCGACCTGGGGTAGGGTACCTTGTTTGCCGAATTTTGGCGAGTAGCGTGGCGCGCGGAGCCGGGTGCGGCGTGGGGTGGCTGGTCGGGGCCGTCGGCCTCTGGCGGGGGTAGCGCCCCCGCTCCACCCCCGCCGCCCCGCCCCACCCCCCGGCCGGCGATCAATACGCAGGCGGCATGCGAGGCAAACTCCCATCGCCATAGCAACCCCCCGCGCCGCAGCCACGCCGCAGCCACGCCGCACCCGGCCGGGCCGGCGTCAGTCGGAAGCTTGCCTATCCCACCTCGCGCCGCCCTGGCCGCCCCGGGGCAGGTGTCCACATGATGCAATTTGCCAGATAATATCGGCTGGAAGGGGGAGTGGCGGTGGGTGGCCGCTGGCGTGCATGTGGTCAGTCCGATGTGGGCTGCACCGGGCCACGCCGGCCACGCTGCGCTTTGCGCGGTGCTCTGGGGGCGGAACAAAGACAGCGCAGCGCCCCTCTCGCTGGCGACGGGGGCGTGTCGCACTGCCGCGTCGCCCCGGCCTACTCGGCGGGATTGCCGCCTGACCCCGTTCGGCGGCGTCTCTCTGGTGTCGCCGTTCGGTCCTCTGGAAAGATTGCAGGTGCTGGCGAGGGTGGCGTTCGGCGTGCGGGTGTGGTCCTGGCGGCCACGCCGGCGACGTGTTGGTGGCTGCGGGGCCCTCCGCCCCTCGCGCCGCCCTTCCCCCCTAACCTTTTTAGGGAATGGGCTGCGGCCGCTCGGCGCCGCACAGCGCCGCGCCGGGCTGCGCGTTGGACTGGATCGAGGAGGGAAGAAAAAGTGCTTTCCGGGTGGCGCTGTCGCGGTGCCGTCGCCGTGATGGGCCGGGGGAAAAAAGGGGCGACCTCTCACCTCGCCGGCGCTGTCGCCTCCGAGGCGAGGCGTCCACCGTTACCCGGAGGCGAATCGGGCACGATTGAATTTCCGGTCTGGATCGGTGGAAGCGGCGGATTTCTGGGCGATCCGCGTGCGGCGCCACGGGGTCAACTCTCGCACAAACCGGTTGCAGTTGGCCATTTTTGTCCGACTTCCCCGCGCTCGCTCTTTTTTTTTTTCACGCCCGTGTTCGTGTGCGCATTGGGGCGTCGCCACCCATCCGCTGCGGCGGGGCGAAGCGGGGCCGCGGGGCCTGGGCCGCGTGCGAAACGGCGGCGGGCAGTGGGCAGGCGGGCAGGCCATGCTGGCAGCCCCGGGCCCACTCGTAATGAAGGAGAATGAGAGCGACTCGGCTACTGTTGGTCCAGGGCGGGGCGGACGGGGTGCGGGGCTGGCGGGGCGCTGCAGTGCGGCCACTGACCCCCTAGTGGGGCCCTCGCAGGGCCCTGGGCCGCGCGGGGCGGCGCGGTGGGCCGGGTGGGCCCTGACGGCACCCCGCGCAGGGGGTGGGCGGGGTGCGGCCGCGGAGGCAGGCTGGCCGCCAGGCGCCACCGCCCTTGTCCTTTGTCCCTGTTCCCGCGCCTCTTCTGCTGCAGCGTGCACTGACGTGTCGCTTCCTTGTTTCAGAACGTGGACCACAAGTTGAAGTTCCGGTCCAAGAAGGGTCAGTTGCCCTTCATTGAGCTGAATGGAGAGGAGATCGCAGACTCGTCCATCATCATCAAGGAGCTGGCGGAGCGCTTTGAGAAGGATCTGGACAAGGACCTCGACAACGAACAGAAGAACGTCGCATACGCCCTCACGTCAATGATCGAGAACCACCTCCTCTGGTGAGTGGAGCTGGACGCGAAAGCCGGTCCTGCGTGGCGGGGATTCGAATATACGCGCCCGGCTGTGGGCGAGCACGCTCGGTGGCAGCATGAGAACCTCCTCTCTCTGATTGCAGGGTTGTGATGTGGTGGCGAACCAAGTTCACCGACGACGTCATCAAGGGCTACCACGTGAGCCTACAACACCAACTCGGCTCCAAGATCCCCAACGGCATCCTCAACTTCTTCTTCAAGTTCACATACGGCCGCAAGGGCGCCAAGAAGGTCAAGGCGCAGGGTATGGGCGTGCACAAGGCGGAGGAGATCAGCGAGTTTGGCAGGAGAGATCTCAAGGTTCTCTCGGAACAGCTCGGCGATAAGCCGTTCTTCTTTGGCGATGAGCCCACCTCGGTAGGTAGATCCCAATCTGGGCGAACGGCGTACGGGATCGTTTTATTGGATACCGTCTAAGTCGGGCCCCTGGACGCCGCTAATGGGATTCTGTTTCTGGTTTTGCAGCTGGACGTGGTGGCGTTCGCCAACCTGGCCCAGGTGTACTTCATCGACAAGGAAGTCAACTACCCCCTCCGCGATTTCATGCAAGAAAACTGTGCAAACCTAGTGGGTCTTGTCAACAGGATGAAGGAAAGGTGAGCGCGTCGCCCGACCCCTTTGATTTATTTTCTTCAAATTTTACGATAGCCGGTCGGATCGGAATGCGGCATTGTCCGGGACGCTCTGGTCCCCCGGCCCTCTGGTGCCCTCTCCCTTACCATCTCGCGGCCCGTCCCCTATTGTCCTCACAATTCTCGACTTGGCTCCGCGCTGGCAGGGCCGGCAGGGCTGGCAGCATTTGTCGTCGCAGGACACATTTTTAATTCGGATTATTCAATTCGTCTCCCCCTTCCCCGACCTGGTTCCAGTCCAGTCATTGGCCTGTCTCGCCGCGCTGCCGCACGCTGCCGCGGCCCTCGCGACGCAGCGGCCGGCCGACGCTGCCGACGCCCGACCCGGCGCGACCCCTCCCTCCCCTGCCCTGCCCTGCCCCGACGCCGCGCCGCGACATGCCGAGTACCCCTGCACTCGGCTCCGCTTCGGCTCGGCTCGGTTCGGTTGGCCGCGGCGACGTCCCAGAGAGCCGAGGGGAAGGGAGGGGGAGGGGGCGACGCCGGTTTTGTGGTGGTTGACGACGCGTCCGCCGCGCGCGCTGGAGTCGCTTCGATCGGAATCTCACTCACTCACCCCGCATGGCGTTGTAGTAGTACAATTTGGAGAGCAGCCACCTCGTCGTTATGTCGGGACGAATTAAGTTCCGAAGCTGTCTGGCGGGGAGGGGAAGGGAGGGGGCGGGAGATGCGGCGGGCGCCTTGCGCTGCGGCTCGAAATGTTAAAATGTGACGTGGTTGTAATAAAATGCGTGCCGTGGGAATGGTCCCTGCCCCGGTCCGGAGAGTTCGGCCCTGTTGCCAAGTGGCGAGGGAAGAACCAGTTTGGAGGCCGCCGGGCCCGAAAGTGTATCGAGTACGTGCGTTCTAAATGTGTCTTTTGTCTGTTCCAGGTGTTTCCCTGATTGGGAAGACATGTGCACCAACTTAGACATGAATTCACATCTACCCAAGCCTCCCCCAGAAGAGAAGGAAGAGAAGAAGGAAGGCAAGGAGGAGAAGGGCGAGAAGGAGGGTGATAAGGAAAACGAGAAGGACAAGGAGATTGAAAAGGAAAAAGAAATTGAAAAGGTAAACTGACAACTTCTTGACATGTTCATTGTACCTTCTTTTATCAATTTGCACTGTTAAAAGATTTAAATTAACCCTTCCCTCTTCTCATTTCAGTTGGAAAAGGATGACAAAGAAGCAGAAAAAGTAATTGATGAAAATAAATCTAAAGAAGAAAAGGAAGCAGCCAAGTGAATTGGTGGTTATTGAGCCATAAAGCACAACCAACTTTTTATACATTCATTTCCTTCCTTGTTTTTTAAAATTGTGAATTGTTTCATTAGTGAATGTTTTATACCTCTTTTGTTTTTCTACGCTATTTCTAAAAGAGAATCAACTTAAGGCTGACATTTCTGCACTATGTGTAGGAGTCGCCTAATATTTTATGGACTGACAGTTTGTAATGTTTTTCTTTTATGATATTTTTTAAAAATTGACTTGAGTAGGTCCAGGAAGGAAGTGAAAGATTTTGCGGCGCTGAATGTTGGCGGCTGGACTGCTCAATGATTGCGGATGTTGCTCAGATTGTGGAGCATTGTCCCGTTTGGCTGCTTTGGGGATGCACGCTGCTGTGTTGTTGTAGACTGCTCTCCCTGTTGGATGTCATGTCTGCTGGGGCGCGTGTGTAACATATTGTACATGGGTCACTAGTTGTTTTGGGACCAGCTGTGAATACTTAAAAGCAAACATCACTGCAGCCAAACATGTTAAAAGTAAACAACCTATGTACCTAAAGAAAAAAGTCATCTCACATTCTTTCACATTTCCATATTGCATCTCTTATTCATGTGTAGTGCAGCCACGTACTGCATGCATGACTCGTGACCAAAGAGGCACTTCAGTGACATATTGTGCATCAGATGCTGTCACGTGCTATATGAATGTTTGTGCTAATGTAATTTTTCCACATGACTGCAATTGTGACCCTTTTTGACACAGCTGGGAGCTCCACTTCAGCTGTGACAAAGATGTTTGTATATTATAATATACTGTATTAGTGAAATTTGACTTGTTCCTTCCCCAATCGTTGCTGCTTCTCATCCCCATCCCTCCCATGTCCCTCCCAAGTTTTCCTTCCCCAGACCCCATCCCCCTTTTATTAATATCCGCTTGTTTGTCATTGTAGACATAGTTGTATACTTCTAATGTTTTATTGAGTATATCGAATGTCAAAGCAAGTGAAACGTATGGCTTTGTCAGTATGTGAGCGGATGAAGATTATAAATATATATATATAAATATATAAATAAATAACTATATGCGTGAGAGGTGTTTAGCACCTAGGCCACTTTTCAACATTATTTTGGGCCGAGCAGGCTGTTTCTTGTTGCTTTGGTACAGAATGACTGGATTAGTTGTCATAGCATTCATTATTCAATTTCAATTTGTTTTGGCGCCATGTAAAGGAGGGGTGGGAGAGATCAGCCATGATGTGTCTTTCTCCCACCCCTCCTCTCCATACAAAATCGTAATATCAGCTTGATTTAAGTAATGCTTCTTGTAAGCTGTAAGTACACCATTGCCAAATAAAGATAAAAGCTAAAAAAAAAAACTGTTTTAGTAATTTTTCCAACCTGGAGTAGTGAATTTTTTATACAGAACGAGATTAACTGAAAGCTATATGAAACATACATTTTATTCTTTAAATTAATTGGCACATACTTGCTTAACATTCATAAGTTTCATTCCAAAATGAAAGCGCCATTTCCTGGCTGTGAATGGAACACATATCCAGTCAGTTTTTCACTTGCTGGCAGCGAAGTGTAGAAAGTTTCTTTCAATGACGCAATCAGGATGTCAGCATGTTCTGCTGTAGTGAGCGCCACCATACATCCACCCCACCTGCAAGTAAATTTTCCAATTTTTTTCAATTTGTCTAGACAACACAGTGTTGTTAGTTAGGATGAGAAAACTTACCCTGCCCCTGTTAGTCTAGCTCCAAGGGCTCCATTTTTACGGGCTGCCTCAACCAATGCGTCCAGTTTAGGATGGCTGCATTCATACAAGTCTCTCAGTGAATCATGACTCTGATTCATTAGTTCTCCTAACTCCTTTTGACTGCTGCCTATAGTACAGAGTTCCTGGAACTTAGAAACTCTCAAAGCCTCTGCAAGGAAAAAACATGAAAATTAAAATTGAAGCAGCAGAAATTTGGAAATGACACCAGGGTAGAGGTGTGATGTCCTCTAATTTTCAATATACCCTCAAATACATGAGTTGCACGCTGGCGCAGTTTGAATAATTTCGTGTTCCTTGTATTTTCTGGTAAGAAACATTGGTCCACTTCATCACTGCTTATCTGAAGAATTTCACAAATCTTGCAAAAGAAGAAATCAAATCAATTAAAAGAGAGCAGCTACTTATTATTTCCTAAACAAGTCCAAATCTTACCTCTTCTTTAGAGTATGTATCTTTGGGAAGGAGTTCTGAAGTACGCAGGACCATATCTGACAGACTCACATTCAGTTCTTTTTGCACGTCTGCTAATACCAACAGATTTTTCCAAGTTGTCAGTCCGCTCTTCTGAGCAAGTATCTACAGGTTTCAAGGAAACTAGGAGTTATTTTATAGAATGTGCAATAATAATATCCACAATAAATTTTTTGCTAAAAAAATAATTAACAAAACTACGACATACAACTGAAGCAAGGCGGCACTCTGCCACACGATGGTTGAATTGATCCCCCGCAGCCTTGTTCAACTCAGCAAATGAATGAGCAACTAGAATTGCTAAGCCTGCTGGAATTTTGACATCTGCTGACCGCAATGGCTTGAATGATATGTGTTTAGCACATCCTGATTTTAAAAAAAGAAAAAAAGAAAAGAATGAAATTTTGTTTTAAAATGATGAAAAGCAAATTCTTGGGAGAAAATGAGACACACCTGGCTTAGCAAGAAATGCAATAGCTTGGTCCATGCCACCGCCTTCAGTGCCAATGTATCTCTCACTTTTTGCACAAAGAGAAGCCAGTTCCTCTTTCGAAAGCGAAATCTGAGACAAACATGGTAAAGAAACACCATGTAAAATTAGAATTCCGTGTCATTAAAGATAGTAACTGATTGACTTATCTAATAAATTTAATACCTGGTTAGCATGTGAAGTGGCAAGGGCTGCAGCACAGACCAAAGCGCTGGAACTTGACAGACCAGAGTTTGGGAGAACATTGCCAGCTACACACAGATTCATTCCTACGATACCTTTTGTTCCATAAGTTTCAGCAACTCCTCTTATGCCACACAGAACATAATTATGCCACAATACACCAAGAGATGGATCGTCCACACTGAAATATAAGGGCTATGGTTCAATGAAACGAAATGAAAAAATGAAATGAGTCATAATTAAATATTGAAGTTGCATTAAATACCATTGCATCATAAAAATCTATAACTTACTTCAAGTTTTTGATGTTTCCATTGAAGGTAGAATACTTAGAATTCACATTAACTAGATTTAGTGAAGTGTCACCAGTGGGACTTACAGCAATTAATATATGCTGATCGAGGGCCATTGGAAGAACTGAGTATCCACAATAGTCAATGTGTTCTCCAATAAGGTTCACCCTGTAAAAATTAAATTAAATATATGAAAAAAATTAGGGGACAGAAAGGACATATTTCAATTTACTAAAACATTTTTACCTGCCAGGAACACGAACGACAAAATTCGGAGTAGATCCATAGGTATTCTTAAATTTCTCAAGCACACTATTGAGAAGAGGCTCATTTTTAAAAGATTCAATAGAATGCACTGTTGGGATATTTAAGGAACCCTGGAAGTCACAAATAGAAATAGTTTAACATCCAATGTAGTGGGAGGGAATAACAGATATGTGATGTCAAAGTTTGACAGTAGCTGTCAAATAGTCGTTGCAGTGAGGACAAGTATTTTTTTTCTTGCCAGTTACCAAGTTGTTGCGTGACCAAGTATTTCATTAAAGTAAGATAAACGTTTAACCAAAAATAAGAGTTAACTTATTAAATTTCCTTGCATTTCTCTTCGAGCAAATTCATTTCAGGTATTCAACCACTAAAGTGACAGCTGATATTGGTGTAAACAAAACTTGACAGTTCTTTAGAAATGAATGACAGGAGCCGCATACCATTGTGAAGGAGGGTTTTATATTATTTTTCGAAATAAATCTTGGGTAAAACAGCAGGGGGAGCCACGTCACAAGGATCACTTTGGAGAAGGATCCGCCTCCACTCCACTCTCTGTCGGCTGCTGTCAGCCGGCAGGCGCTGGCCGTGGCAGCGTTGCCCGTTGCCCGTCCGAAACAGCCGCGTCGACCCTGCGCCTCAAACAGGTGTACTCGCTGACCGGGCGAAACGGGGGCGGGGAGGGAGGGACCCAAATCACAACAGGATCAGAAATCACGCAGGATCGCTCGAGTAATCACTCCATGTCCGTGACATGAAGATGGTAGCCCTGCCGGCTGCTCCGTGTTTTCGAAGCGCGACACGCCATCTAGCGGATCCTTGTCGAACCTGCCAACGTGCTGGCGGTGCTGGCTCTGCTCCTGTCGCGGGCAACGTCCGCGAGATGGCGCGCGCATGGCTGCCTGTCAGCTCCAGCTGCATGTTTGAGTTGAGTAAGTCTTTGATGAACGTACATACGATGACATGCGAGCCTGCAATCGTCTTCTGACCATGACCACGGGATAGAAGTTCATTTCGACGACGTCGTGCGTCAGTTAGCAACGCAGCGAGCCCGGCCGGGACCGCCTGGGAGGTATGCAACCCACTGTCTCTGCAGCGCTCCAAAGTTCGGCGGGGTGCCCACCCGTCCGGGCGCTTCGCGCCGGGAGGTAGGCAATCCGCCAGCGCTGCAGTGCACCGAGGTTCGGCGGGGTGCCTACCCACCAGGCGTTCCGCTCCGATCCGGCCCGATTGCCGAAACAGTTGCGCGCGTGGCGTGTCCGCGCGAGTGCGTGACGCACCCTTGCGGCAATGTTTGTCGACTTTCATAGTGACGGCCTTTCGGACCGGTTGTTTCCGTTCCGAAGGTGAAAGAGGCTGGAGAAGTGAGGCCTCCCAGGAACAGGCGCGAGGGCAGGAGCACTTCACGCGGAATTTTTTCCGAGCATATTGTTTTACGCCACAGCCGGCCGCTTGTTGCGCTGGATCGTCAAACGGCTTCCCATAATGTGGATAGTGGCGGAGTGATGTATTTTGTCGAGACGCTTCACTCTGGCAGGGGGCTTAAATTGCACCTCTGGGAGTCTGGCGCGCGGCGCGCGGGAGGAGCGTGACTGTCACGGTCACGCTGCCGCCGGTGCATCCCAGGAACTGTATCAGTCGGAGCCTCGCAGCGCTCGCGGCTCGGCGGTCCGGATCAAGACTCGCCTTATCTCGCGGGCAATTACACGCCTTGAGGACGCCGTCGATGTCCACCGCGACGAGAAAGCGGCGGCACGCGCGCCGGGGTCTGGAAGAAGGCAGACTGATTCCGAGAGTCGTTTTCGTCGCTCTGTCTCTCTTGCACTCACGGGGCGTGCCGTACAGGTGCGACAGAGACAGAGCGACGAAAACGACTCTCTCAGGTTCGCGACGGGGGCCGCCTACCTCCCAGGGGCACCCACCCGCGGCCGAGCCAGCGCGGCGGGCGTGGACCTCGTGCACGGACGGGCCGGGCTCCGGTTTTGCCGAATTCCTGCTTGGAGCGAGGCCGACGCCCGCCGGCCGCCTCGGGCGTTCCAGTCCCAGTCCCGGGGTGGACCGGCCGGTCCGGCCGTCGTGGCCTGCACGGCCTGGACGCTGGAGCGACATGGACGTCCTGCCGGCGAGTGGGCGTGTGAAGAGGGCCGGCGGGCCCTCCCGCCTCCCGCACGGCAGCACCAGGACGGCCAGGACCGCCTCGGAACGGGTTCCAGGCCCACCGCCAGCACGGCCAGCACGGCCAGCCGGGCCGACCCCCGCGGCGAGGGCGAGGGTGCGGGGCCGCGGCTGACGCAATGTGCCAGGTGTCAGCGAGTGCGAGCACGTGTGCGGCCCGAACCGGGTCCGGGCGGCGTGCTCCCTGCGTGCGCGGCCGTCCAGCAGGCCAGCGGGGAGGCCAGCGGGAGACACGTCCGCGGCGATCGAAGTGCTGCCCCCACCGCGCGCCACCGGGCACCACGCACCGCGCGCCCATCCAGTCGTATCCGACATGAACCGAATCCATCCGAATCGGTTGCGGGGCTGTTGCACGTGCCTTTTGCGGCCTATCGCGGCACACGGCGGCCTGGAGTGGCGGGGCGGCGCGCTGTTTGAACCGCCGGCGGGGCCCTGAGGGAAGACCAAAGGGGAGGGGGGAACCGGTTGGAACCGGTACCGGACCGGTCCGGCGTGGCCGCGACCTACCTCCATTTGGATGGCGGAGGGCGGCGCGGATCGCAACAAAAAGTGCCGAAGTGCAGCTGCAGGGCCGCGCCGCTCCGCATTGCGCAGGCAGGGCGTGCACCTGGACTCGCCCGGCCCTGGCGGCGGCGCGACTTACTTTATCTAGGCGTCGCGGCAGTCGCAGTCATTGGGATGGGCTTGAGGTAATACCCCGTTAGTCACCGGAACGACAGACACTCCGCCCTGGCCTGCGTGGCCGTGCCTCAGTGCCGCGCCCTTGACGCCGGGCCTCGTCGCGGAGCCTCCCATTACCCGGACAGCGTACTGCGTGTGGGCCGCCGTAGTCCGTCTGTCCTTCGTCTCTCTCGCACTCATGGGCGCCCCGTTTAGGTGCGAGAGAGACAGACAGGCGGAAACGACTCTCGGAATCAGTCCGCTTGCGTCCGCAGGGCGGCGCGGCACGGCGGGTCGGCGCGGCGGAGGGTGGAGGTCTCGGGGGCGCCGTTTACCCCATTCCTGCCTCGCGCCGCGCAAGTCCCCTGCATGTTAATTCAACCGAAATGAAGAAGAACGCACCGCTGACTCTCATTTTCGCGCCCAGCCGCGGCCGGCAGCGCGGTGTAACCCGTGTCGCAGCCCGCCTGACCCAGCCTGCCCGACCGTGGACGACTCACCGTCACCGTAAAGACCGTCACCGCGCGCTCAGGTGGCCAGTTTGCGCGTGTTTTGCCAAGTCGCTTCCCGCCGCAGCACGTCGTCACGGCGGCACACTGCAGTGCGTTCCGATTAGAGGCGTTCTGACCCTCGGCGATGTGGCCACGGGCGCCGCGCTTCCATTTCGAGGGCCCTGAGAGTGTGTGAGAGTGAGATATAGCGCCGGCAACACATCGCAGCGCGGAGTTCCAACTCGCCCCAATTGGTCGCTATAATCACCCACAATTGACGGACCGCGGCAGCCGAGCGGTTCGTCGCTCTGTCTCTCTCGCACCGCAATGGAGAGCCCCGCGAGTGCGACAGAGACAGAGCGACCAAACGACTCTTCTGAATCGCCCGGCAGTCACAGCGGACACATCACATGGCTTCGGTTCCGCCAGCGCCGCCCCTTGCCCCGCCCCTTCCTCTGCCCGGGCCGGGCCGGGGTTCGGGGTTAATAAAATCTCGACTAAACGCCCGTCCCGTCCCGTCTCGCCAGCCAAAACACTACGCTGCGGAAAGTCTTGGGCGCTTCCCTCCGCCAACCAGTGCACCAGTGGCGCGCGCAGCCAGTCGGTAACGAACCGAAGGGAAGGGTGGATTCGAAATCAGTTTGCGTTTGCTGTGTGAGCGGGGCAGTGCAGGGCAGCGCGGGGTGTGGGTCGTGAGTGTGCGGTTCCCATTGAAAAGGGACGCCGCGCTCTGTCCTCGTAACGACGCTGTAAAGTTTAAGAGCGTCCAGCCGGGCCGTGACGAACCGCGCCGAACCGCGTCGGCCACTCGGGCACGGCGACACGTGTGCAGTGCGGCGCGGTGTCATCGCCAACCCGACTGGCGCCCTGCCCTGCCCCGCCGCAGTGAGCTAACACGCCCGTAACGGCAGACTGATTCCGAGTGTCGTTTTCGTCGTTCCGTCTCCCTCGCACCTATAAGGGTCGTGCTATGAGTGCGGGAGAGACCGAGCGACGAAAACGACTCTCGGAATCAGTCTGCAGAGCAGTGACATGGCGGCGGCGACGGCATCCTCAGCGCGCTGCCGGCGCTGCCCCCGGATGCACGTTTCGGTTGGACGTCGGACGTCACCGAACTTGATGGCGCGATGGGCCTGGCCGCCACGCTGTAAATGGACTCTCTCACGGATGTGCGGCTCGACACTTATCAATTCCGCAGAACTTCGCTGACGACAAACCGACAAATTAATTTCGGTCCTGTTTGTCCTGTGTTTCCTGAAGCGCGCCGCCGGCGGCCATAAGGCAAGGCGGACGGACCTTGCCACCGAGTGCTCTCCAAAAGCGGCATCCTAAAAATCTCAGACACACTGCAATCGATAACGCACAGATATTAGATATTGCTGGCCAATCTAGGAGAGTGGAGTGTGGTGACGTGGATCAAGGCGGCCATGGCCGGCCGGGCCGTCGAGGGCTCTCCTGTGTCGTCCCTGGGCTGCGTGCGGGGAGCACGTCCTTGAAGAGCAGCAGCACGATGCACCGGCACACTGACTCCGAGAGTCCCTTTCGTCCCTCTGTCTCTCTCACACTCACACAGGGTGCCCCATGAGTGCGAGAGAGACAGAGCGACGAAAACGACTCTCGGAATCAGCCTGCTGCCCCGGACGCAGCCCAGCCTGCCACCCGCTACCCGTAATGAACCTCGGAGCGCGCCCAAAAATTTTCCACTCAAACTGGAAGCTATTGGCAGTGTCGCCAGGAATAGCAGGCAGGAAGAAGGTGCAATCGTACAGGCAGGCGTCCCTTCAGTTAGCAGAGTGGTGGCGACGCCGCGACGCCGCGACGCCGGCGTGGTGGATGACCAAGGGCGGGCAACGGTGCTGCTGCGGTGCCTCATTCGCAGGCCGGCGGAGTGTTTTGGTCCAACGCGTTGGCCGACTGTACGCGGCGCGCGGCACGCCGGGGATCCTCCGCCGCCACCACTCCACTCCGCCGCGCACGGGCACGAGCGTCGTCGTCTTCCTCGTCACACCCTCGGCGTCGCAGCGCGCGCAGCGCCACTCAGCCTCAGGCCCGATCGAAACGAAAGGAAAGTGTTTTTCTTGCTGCGGCGAGAGACCGACAGGAGAGACACGCCGCCTGAGCAATCTGTGCTGCAATCATCGCGGAGCGAGCAGCTCAAGTAGTGCCTGAGGCTGAGAGCCTCCGCGGGGCGCGGGCACACCGCCTAGGTTAGCCTAGCCTAGGCCTCCCGCCCAAGGAAAGGAAGCTGCAATTATTCTAATTAATTCAGCAGGGCTGGGGTGGCGCGTGGCGCTGCCGTGGGTGGGCAGGGCAGTAGACTGATTCCGAGAGTCGTTGTCATCGCCCTGTCTCTCTCGCACCTAAACGGGACGGTCCATGAGTGCGAGAGGGACAGAGCGACGACAACGACTCTCGGAATCAGTCTGGGTGCGGTCCAGGGTGGGCGGTGGGCCAGGCACCAGGCAGCGTTCGTCGCTTGGTCCCTGCTTCGATCCGTTCGAGTGGTTCAATTAGTCCCTGGAACGCTCCGGCTCCGCGACGCACACGCCCTTTGAGTGCTGACTCGGTCCTGCAACAGCCAAAGCAAGCCCAGCTCAGGGACGCGCAGCTGCCCACAGGGTATGGCAAGTCTTCAGAGAAGGCCTATACCCTTAAATCGGCTGTGACGTAGAGGGTCGCCCCAGTACTGGCAACCTAAAATAACTAACACAATGTTTTTGTTTCTTTTAAAGTCTCTTTGAGAAGCATTGAAGCCATAATATTTATTTTAGACGGCTACTGCATTAAAAGCAAAGATACTCTGAAAATTCCAAGCTGCAAAAACATGATGTTATTTTTGTTGGAAATGTAAAAATTTGGGCCCTCAGCAGACGAAATCCAGTAGCTAGCAGACGGATTTCACATTCAGTTCTTGTTTTCTTTCTGGACTTGGTGCAGATTGTCAGTGTATTCATTTTTCTGTTTAATCAATAACAAAATTGTAATCAACTAAACAGAAAAATGAATACATTTACAATCTGCACCAAGTCCAGAAAGGGTGTTCTGATCCCGGGGAGGTGGTCAAGAGGCGGTTGCCACGAATAATAACAATAATAATGAAAGATGATATCAGATCAAATAATACACAATTGTTCATGTAAATTAAATATATTTCACAAAATTGCACATAACACCAGCGTCCTTCAGGGCTGACCAGTTCGAAACTCTTGGCTGTGAAATCTTCTGTACTATTTTGGGCAAAGTCTTGCTCCGTGCTGACTCTGTCTTCTTGGCCAGCATAATTTGCAATCAAATTTTCTGCTCGAACTGAACCTGTCTCAACAGGCTCTTCTGCAGCAACACCAGGTACACTGGAATATGGCACTTCAATGCAGGAAGACCCTGAAGCAGCTTGTGAAGGACCCCTGTGAAAAAAGATATGAAGTCATGACAACGACAACTCAGACATTGGACCCATCACATTATCATTGACAATGTCAACAATTTTAGTGACATCATATCCTAGTAACTCTTCCTTTTGCCACAGTTAATTAAATTTAGAAAAATGTAAAATGCCCAAACCAACAGATAACGTTGCAACACTTAGAGTAGGAGGCGTTTAAAAAAAACCCTTTCAATTGGTTTGCCTTTCAAGGTATTGCCTTTCGAACTTCATGTTCAGCTCTTAACTATGTTAAACTTTCTATTTAAAATGAATTTTAATAGTGGGATTCAATACAAAGAAAGTAACATTCTCAGTTTAAATGCATACAGCAAAGCAGACGCCAATGTTGATTCAAAGTCCTGTCTAAACAACTCCACACCCCCATTTCATAGAAAGCAACAGCTGAAACACAGTCTTGGAATTGTAACATTTTATTATGAAGGGAAATTGATTTGTTTGTTTGTTTATTTCATCAACCATTCTTTAGAGTACAGTATTGCGCACTTAAATATAAATTAAGTGATTTAAGAGAACGTACCCAATTTGTCGGCCACCATCAGCTCGAGGGGGTGTCACGTTCCCAAGATATCAGACACTGCATTAATTATCAGACGTGGCATGGTGTTCTTCCAAAACATAGCAAGGGTGAAATGGTCTCAACACACTTCCATCTTGAGTAATTCAATCTGCAGAATATTCTGAAGTTTGGGATTCCCACTGAGTCGCAGCATGTCGAAGCCATATGTAATACCTAAGACAGAGAGAAACGTCAGTAAAGCATTCACAAAGGAAAATAGAGATATCTGGTAAAATCGTGAGATGATCAGTTCACTGCATGAATGTCCACAGGTTTAGATTCAGTTGGAATTTTTGACGAGAGCCGGCACACCGTTGGGTTAACCCCGAACACCTACCTTCTCGGGTGGTTTTCCGGAGAGTTCTTGAGCTTGTGCGTTTGATTGGTGCTCGCAAATCCACGAACAGAATATTTTACGACAATAGCCATGCTCTCAGATACAAATTATGAGGAAAATACAGGAAAAATCAAATTTATGCACAGAACCAGCCGGGCCAGATAGAGCAGAAAGGGACAACAAGGTCTATTTTCACCAACTTTCGAGGATAACATTTGGAATATTTCAAACTGCTATCTAGGTAAAACTCGGTCGCTAAGAGACTCAGTTTCAAACAGAATCATCGAAATAACATCATATTGGTACGTGTTAATACAGTTTCCTTGGTTTTTATGTCGGAAAACTGGTTCGTGTTTTTCTTCCCGTTGTAGTGTAAGAATGGGGAAACCTTATTCGCGCCCTTTTTAGTGCCTACCCCCACCACGGTCTCTTTCCATACCCTGGCTGCCCAGCCTGGCCCTGCCGCACCATTGCGGTGCGCAACAACGGCAGCAGAAGCAACAACAGCAACAACAACGTAAACGCAGCGACGCTTTTGGTGTGCGTCCCGCCCTCCCCGACACCCCCTCCCCTCCCCTCCTCTCCCCGAGACTGCGCAGGGCAGGGCCTTGCTGGCCAGCTCGCCGCCGGGCTGCGTTGTGCTTGGCCGTCCTGCGGCCGGGTCGCTGGGCCTCGGGCCTCGGGCAGGCACAGGCACCAGGCCTCCCCGGCTCGCCGGCTCGGCAGGCAGAGGCTTGTCGGTCCAAGTAGCGACAGCGAGTATAGCGTAGACTGTCGAGTGCTCGGCGTGCTCGGGTCCGGGGCCAGCGCGGCCCGCACCGCCGGCCCGGCCCGGCCCAGCCCAGCCAGCCCGACTCACAGCTCGGTGAACCGCTTCCGACGCCGGACCTGTGCCGTGCGCCGTGCCGACGACACCGCCTCCAGCCAGGCCAGCCAAGCCAGCTGAGCGGTGCAACAGTGCCGTGTCCTTCCCCGCGCCGCACTGTGCCACGCCGCGCCGCGCCGCGCCGGCCCAGCAGACGACAGTCGACTGTCGAGCGTGTCGGTTCGCGCGTCGCGCCGCCGCGTGTGTCCGTCAGTGGCGCCGTCAGTGACAGCCAGCTTCCAGTGACAGTGACTCCCCGTGCGATAGATCGGCCGACATGAGCGCCGGCCGGAGCAGCGGCCCTGGACCGGGGCCCGGGCCGGGGGGGTCCCAGGGGACGCCGGCGACGCCCAAGGGAGCCCAGAGCGTGTTCGCCACCCCCGCGCGCCGACCCGCGCTGCGCACCAAGAAGCTGTCGCTGCTCGGCTTCGACAGGGTAAGTGTGCGGCCGTGCGGCGACGCGCGTGACGCGCTGTGACTGGCGGCCGAGTGCACCGTCACCGCCATGAGCCCCGAGCCGTCAGGCAGGCCGTCGTGCCGGGAAGGACGCCCCACCGTAATTATCCCCGATGCAGCGGCGTCCGTTCTCGGAGCCTCGGCCAAGCACTTCTTCTTCTTCTCGCCGGCGTTCTCAGAAAGCCCCCCTCCTCCCCCTCGCCACGTCCGCCCTAGGGCCTCCCCCACACCTCACGCCTCGCGCTACGTCGAGCCGCGTCGTCGCATTGCATCGCGTGCTCGTGCAGCAGTGAGGTTATGTCGCTTCTTACTCTCGTTCCCGCGACAAGTGCCGCCCGGCGCCGCGGCGCTTTCGTCTCGCCGTCTCTCTCGCACTCGCGGGGCGCACCGCACGGGTGCGAGAGAGACGGCGACAAAACACGGTGGCGTGCGTGGCCGTCATTCCCTGCCCGGCATTCCTCGGACCTCTTGGGCCTCTCGGACGACGGCGGCGCATCCTAAAGGTTTACGGCACAGTGGAAGTCGCTCTCAGTTTGGGTTGCCATGCCTCCGACTCTTCCGGGCGTCAGCGGGTGGCAATTGTTGCGCCTTGCAGGTGTCTTATTCTGAGATCTTCATGTGGCGGATCCAGAAGGGGCTTTTTGGAGGGAGAGCAACACTTTTTGCCCACTTACAGGGGCAACGTATGTCCTTTTGCCTACCTTTCAGGCGGCTATCTAGGTATCATTGGGGGAGGGGGAACCTCTTTACCCTTCCCCTGTATCCGCACCTGCTTGTGAATGTATACGCCACGCATGGATCGTGAATTATTAAATTTTCCATTTGATCCAACGACGGGTTGCCTACGCCGCGGCGTACACACGTGTAGCCAACCTCCTGAGAGACCTGCCGGTGCCGCCTTCTCCTATGTTTTTACATCTCTCTGCGTGTGAACTTTGGTGGTGGCCGTCTAGGACATGAGGGAGGACCACTTGTAATATTTGTTGGAATGTCCTGTACTCCATGGCGATCGTGTCTTCGTACTCTCGACCGAGAACGGCAACAGCTGTCGGCGATCTGCCTTCCTTTCCAGTGATGAGTCTTTCCATATTCGGCACTCCTTTCGCCGCCAGCCAGCGCACACTCCTTTCTTTGTCTTGCGGTGGCAGTGGCGCGGCCGGCGCGCTTGCTTCTATGACGCATCGCTATCGCTGTCTTTGTCGGCGCGTCCCGCGTCCGCGCCGGGCTTCCTTCCGGCCTTGCCTCGCTTTCCCGCCGCGTCGCGCACCGTTTCAAGGCTGCAGAAAACAAAAATGTGGAGGCGGCGGGAATAACGAACTGTACACTGAGTGGCGAAAAGGCGGCGGCCCTTTTTGAATGGCACGCGGACACCTACACCTTGAGACGCACTCCAGCACACTGTAGGCCGAAAAGGCGCCGCGCCGCTCGCGCTTCTCGTTAGTCCTATTCTAATTTGTCGCTGGCGTGGGGAAGGCCGTTCGGGCCGTTGGCGGGGCGGGGCGGCGGGGCGGGGCGGCGGGCGGGGGCGGGGCGGCGCGGCCGGCACGCCCCATGGGCACGCCACTGGGACTAGGGAAGGTCCCGGAGGCCCTCCTCCGGCTCGGTGTGGTAGGACGTCCTTGGCGGCGCGCTGTACACAGCAGCGGCTTACCCGCGGCCGGGCCGGCCGGCTGGAGTGTGTTTTTGAGATCGAGAGCCCCGCCAGCCCCGCCACTGGGTAATTGGTTAGCGGTCCGGCCCGTCGCCCCGCCGCGCCCCGCCCTGCAGGCCGACTCTGGACGCTCTGTCTCTCTCGCACTCGCGGCCCGAGGTTGCCGAGTCACAGGGGTGCGAGCGAGACGGCGAGCTCTGTTCGGTTCGGAACGAGCCGTCCGCTCCGCCTCGCCCCCACTGTGCGGATCCAGGCCGCGGCCGATTTTCCTCCTGGAGCCGCTGGACTGCTCTGGAGCACTGCCTCTGGAGGACTGGCTCTGCAGCACTTGCCTCTGGAGCACTCGCCTCTGCAGCACTCGCCTCTGCAGCACTTGCCTCTGCAGCACTTGCCTCTGCAGCACTTGCCTCTAGAGCACTTTGCCTCTGGAGCACTTTGCCTCTGGAGCACTTGCCTCTGCAGCACTTGCCTCTGGAGCACTGCTGGAGCAGGTCGCGTGTGTCTACGGCCGACGACCCTGCGCCGCTTATCTCGGCAGCCAGTCCCTGGCCGACCGGCCTCTGGAAAGGATTTTTTCGAGGTCCGCGCCGCGCCCGATTGCTGTGTGTGATTGTTTGTGTTGCCGCGCCGAGTGGCGTTGCCCTTCTGGGACGCGTCCAAGAAATAATTTATTATTCCTCTGGCGAAATTCTAGAAGCGGGGGCCCAAAGGGGGTTTAGAAGGGCATCGACTCGGCTTGCCTCTTGCTTGGCCTCGCGAACCGCCCGCCGATTTGTGGGCCTGCCTTCCCCACGTGATGTCATCATGCCATGACGGTAGACCGCCACTCACACTCACACAAAAACACGCACACACACGCACACACGCACGCACACACGCACACACACGCACACACCTACACACGCACACACACAGACGGGCGTGGAAACCTGGCGTTTTGCTGGGATAAGTAAAGGCGGTAAACGTCTCCCTCTGTCGGCGCATAGCTGGGAACTTGCACGGGATTTTCTCCGCGGCGATTGGCTTTGAGACCCCGCTTTCCTCTTTCATCTCGCTCCCGCGTGGCGTGGCGTGGCGTGGCGTGGCCCCGACGAACCGGTTCCCCTCGATGCTGGATTTCGAGGCCCTGACCTAGCGCATATCGTGGTGATGGTGATCCAGGCGGCGATAACGATAAGGCCGCGCGAGAGGAAACGCGGAGCACGGCCAGAGTAAGCGAAGCGCCCCCCGCGCACAGTGGGCCAGAAGACCGGCGCCGGCGGCCAACACTCCAGACGCGTTTTGAGCTCCAGAGTCGCTAAACAGGACTCGAACCGAGCGTGCGACCCCACCAATGGATTCTTCGTTCGGAGAGTAATCCATTGGTGGGGTCACACGGCCGGTTCGAGTCCCATTTAGCGACTCTGGAGCCCAAAACGCGTCCGGGATTTTGACCGCCTCCACCGGCCTTCTGGCAAATCCACTGTGCGGCGGCGGCGCGGCGACGCGACACGTCATCCTGGTGCGATGACGTTTCCCTTCCTTCCGATTGGCCCGAGATTGCGGAAACACGCGGCGTGTGCAGCTGGCCCGACTAGCCGACGCCCAAGCCGCAGGCAGCCGCAGGGGGGCTCTGCTCGGCAGCCTACTCTGCAAACTGAATACATGCTTCAAGTTCAAAGCGACGTGACCACACGCGTGGTCACACGAAAATGATTTTGCAACTAATTTTCTTTGTCCGTGAAAATTTTTACCACGTTTGATCTGTCTTATGCTATGAACGTGTTGATGAGTCAACCTGAAGGAGGACGCTTACTCGAGGGGTGAATCACTCAGCGTTCTGGTGTACACATGAGTACATGAGTACGGGTGAGTACACCTTGGTTTACTCATAAATTTCACAATTTAAAACGTTTTAAGGCTTTATTTAGCGTTTTTAACGGCACTCAACGCCAAGTCGGTTGAAAAACTAGAGAATTTCGCCCTTTTTAAACTTGTGAGTACACTGAGTACGGGCAATTTTGTACACATGAGTACACTAGTGATTCACCCCTCGCGCTTACTACCGTCTACTCGACAGGCATGCTGTAAATAAGCGTGTAAATAAGCATGGCAAGTACACTCCAACTATCCTGTGCCAGACAAGACAATAACACAGGTGCAAAGTGTGTTGCCCTGTGCCCTGTAAGCTCTGTGCCCTGTAAATAATTAGCATCACTCATAAGGTTGACTCTGCATAAGAGTTAGCGCATGTATGCTCCTCAGTTTGCAGAGTAGCGAATGGAAATGCGAAATCGTTCTTGTTGCGATTTTTTTGGGCCACCGACCGGTTGACGACCGAGCGTCTGGGACTCTTTGATTCCGAGAGTCGTTTTCGTCGCTCTGTCCGCCTCGCACGAGGCCTCGCACCTGTAGGGGACGCCCCATGAGTGCGAGAGGGACAGAGCGACGAGAACGACTCTCGGAATCGGTGTAGGGACTAATGAGCGCGGCTTGTGTGTGCCGTGCGTCTGTGTCAGTGCGGCCGGCGATCCGCGGCATCGGCGGACAATGGGCCAATGGGCGGCCTCACCGCCGAGCAACCAACTCGGTAAACTGGCCTTACTTCAAACGCTTCACTGAGAATGAAAGAGTCATGATCATGACGAAAATTTTGGGCGAGGAATTCTTTATCACCCAAATTTGGGTGAGGAAGGTTTCCGATTCACGTTTAGACGAACGTGACGTCACATTCCCGGATTCCCAGTGCAAAGAGTGCATATTTTGTCTCGGGGTTTCTGGTCCACTATTGCTACACGTGCATTATCTTCGAAAAATACGCTATGTCAATGGCTCATCAGTATTAATTTTTCGAGTGTATGCACCCATCTTTAGCAACTGTCGATGACTGCAGACTTGTGCAAGAAGCAGCCCGCGATGGGCCGGCGGCGCGCCGAGGACACTGTCGGAGGACGTCGAGCGAGATACACTACTAGAGAGAGAGAGATGACGTCGCCGCATGTTTGCCCACACTGTCGGAAGAGGAGGAACAACAGCGGACAAACCAAATACTTGAGGTGGCCGCATAATCAGTCCTGGCCGGCATAGCGTTCCTGATTCTCCTAGCCGCTCTTATCATCAGAAGATTACGCTACAAAGTCAAGCTGTCGTCACCCACTCAGTCAGTCATTGCTCACTCGCTCAGTCAGTCCTTCACTCAGTCTTTCACTATCAGTCGCACTCAGTCGCTCTCACCATCAGTCATTGCCTTTGTCACTCGCCCAGCACTCTTGTCACTCATGATTCGCTTTCTCACTCGCACTCACTGACTCTCTCACTCATTCGCTCACTCGGGAGGCAATTTAATAATG